GAGAGAGATACAGACAGACAGAAACAAAACAATAGGCAAGACAAGAGAGAGAGAGAGAGAGAGAGAGAGAGAGAGAGAGAGAAGAGAGAGAGAGAGAGAAGAGAGAGAGAGAGAGAGAGAGAGAGAGAGAGAGAGAGAGAGAGAGCAAGAGCACAAGGGAAAACTACAAGAGAGGAAAAAAGAGATAAGAAAAAGAGGGAAAAGTGCATTAAAGTTAGTTGAGGCACTGCGCGGAGATAAGACCATCCGGGTTGCATGCGAGACGTTTTGGCGGTGACTAATTTCAAGTTGGGATCAAGTGAGGTTCAAGCCAGTCCAAGCGAGGAGAAAGTTTCTTATCCTGAATACATATGATAATTTCATTAGTTTTATTTGAATGTACAATCTAGAACTAAATATTTATTCCTGAAAAGTGATACATAAGGTGATAATGATGATAATGAAATGATAATGGTAATAGCATTGATACTTCTACTACTTGTAATAATGATCCTGATACAGATATTGATAATATAAAAATATATATATATTATCATCACTTTCATCAGCACTATCATCATCATCATAATGATGATACTAATATTAGTGCTACTACTACTACTACTACATGTACTTTTTCTACTACTACTTCTACCGATTATGATAATGACAATGATAACAATGATGATAATGATAGCCAAAATAATCATATTATAACGATGACAATTTTAATATGAACACTAACAATAACTACGACATTAATAACAAGAACAATAACTACGACAATATTAATAAGCCCAACAACAATAACAACGATAATCATATCAACAATACAAAAAACACCCTTATAGAATATCCAAATGCTAACCCTCTCCCCTGCCTTCCTCCATCTTTACAGGCGAAGAGTCGGCAGCGGTTCAAACGGCCAATTCCGTCACCCTGCGGTCAAACCCTCAGGGGATGTGCTGGGCCTTGGTGGCGCTCTTTCTCTACCTTGGTTCGTGGTGACCCGCTGGTGAAGGTGAGTGTGGACGGGAGAGTGAGAAGGATTTGGTTAGATGAGGACAAGGAGAGAGAGAGGGATGAGGGATGGAGGGAAAGAGAGAGGGAGGAGGGAAGAGGGAGGAAAGGAAAGAAGGGAGGGGAGTGGAAGAGAGAAACCATATTTTTAATCCTTAACTGCCCGGACCTTGGACGTAACATTACGCTTGCCGCCCTTCCTTACATACCTTGTATCGTATCATCATCATAATGGAGCTAACGCAAACAGGGGAGCATAGCCACATCCACCCTTTGTTTCCATCTTCAAGGGTCCCTCGTGGCAAGCCAGGCAGGGACTCTCACAGTCATCCTCCACCCACGGCTGACTTGAAGAGAGAAAACCTGGTAAGCAGGATCATCCTGAGGAAAGCGAGTCAAGTGGCTCTATAGCCTGAGTTGGCGACCATTGATTGTGCAGGTAACAGGTCCTGTGCCAGTCTCACAGTACAACTGTTGGTTGAACACGTAGTCCCACCAACAATACCCCATGATCTGGCGCAAGTACCTATTACAAAAGGCATCAAGATGAGACTCCAAGGCACAGGATAATGTCCAGGTATCTCTAACGTATAGCAAAAATGGCATTATCAGAGCCTTAAAGACGCAAAGCTTGGTCCTTCTGCACAGATACCAACATCTCCAAATATTATTGCTGCCAGGCCAATCCGTCTGCTGACTTCCTGGTCTGACAGCTCAGAATTATGTAAAGCTCTCTGTGACTTCAATGTCCTCGCCGCAAGCACATACCGACTGAACAGGTTCTCCTAGCAAGTCCCTAAAGTCCTGGATCTTGGTATTGGTCCAGGATACCTCTAGACCCAAGGGCTTTGCTTCATTACTAAACGCATCCAGAGCCACCACTAAGGTTTCCAAGGACTCAGAATGGCAACATCATCAGCAAAGTCAAGGTCTTTAACCTTGAAATTGCCCAAAATTGCTCCACAATTACTTTGAACAGTAGCTCTGCCCGGTATCCAGTCCATGCAAGTGTTGAAAAGTGTTGGTGCAAGGACACAGCCTTGCCTCACTCTTGAAGCTCAACAGGCCCCCAGCATACTTTACAGCACTTTCAGTACCAGTATACAGACTTGCTATTAGTCCAATAATCCTTGTTGGAATTCCTCTCAGTCTCAGGATCTCCCAGTGATTCCCGATGCACCGTATTGAACGCCTTCTGATGCCTCAGTAGGTGGTTTCTGATACGTCTCAGAAGGATGTGGGCGAGAACCTTGCCTGGTATACTGAGCAGTGTGATGCCTCGGTGATTACTGCAGTCCCATCGGTCCCCCTTCACCTTCCAGAGAGGGATGACCACACCCCTCAACAGGTCAGGGGGAATGGTACCGGACCGCCAGATGGCAGCCAGGACAGCATGCAACCTGCGTGCCACGAGCAGCCTTTAACAGTTCAGCTGGGATTCCGCATATACTTGCTGCTTTACCACTCCTCATCTTGGTGATAAGCCCCCATAACTTCAGTTAGGGAAGGGGAATCCTCATTGACAGATGGGTCCGGCAACGGAATCACGACAATACCCGCATCCAAGTTAACTGTTGGTGGGTCAACCTGGTACAAATGCTCAAAGTACTCAGCCCAATGCTCCTGCACCGCAATAGGATCTGAGACGATCTGGCCACTAAGCGAACTGCTGTCACCTGTGAAGAGCGCTTGGAGTTCAGTTTTCTCAGGGCTTGGTATGCAGGACAAAGATCACACTAAGAAATAGCCTTCTACCTCTACAAGACCCCTAATAAACTGTTCCATGTCCCTTCTTATCAGTTCTGCGCACCTGAGAATGGTGCAAATCCCGATCCCCTGTCAGACGAGCCGCACAAGCATCTGTGGCATCCAGTGTTTTCTGGAGATGAAATTCTGTCATGCTCTCAGTCGTTCACCAATTGATTCTTGACCTGCATTAAAGGTATCCCACAGAAGAAGTGCCTCAGCAAATCCTCAGGCACACTCCCCCTCCCTCAGCCTGTTCAAATGAAACACCCTAGGGTGATCGCTGGACCACTGGGGAGTTTTGAAGTGGACCCGGAGTGGAGCCACAACCCATCTATGGGCAGTACCACAGAACTCGGCACTCCTATACACCCTGCAGTTATGGAGGATGCTCCAATGAGCGCTAACGAATATGTGGTCGATCTCCTTGGCTGCATTACCTGTATCACTGTACCACGTCCAATGATGTGGGCCTGAGTGCTGGCACCAGGAGCCAGAAATCCTCAATTTCTGGGACCTTGCAAAGTCCCGGAAAAGGAGGCTATTCTCACTGCCGGAATCAGCTCCCTAACCATGGGAACTGACAGACATCTCATAGCCAGCTCAATCACAGCTAGATACTGCAATGAAGTCGCCTAGAAAAATATGAATATCTCGCCGGGGACAACTGTCTGACACAGACGATAATTTTGCGTAGCTGTGGCCCGACCAGTAATAGGTGTAACCAAGTACACTGATCGTGCTGCTGCCAGGTCTTCTCACCTCCGAGAGAGCAGCCACATCAACTCTCAGCCTCCCTAGTTCCCTTGACAGCAGAGGCAACTGATCATCCTGCCGCAAAGAACGGATGTTCCAAGCCCCTACCTTGACTTCCCACCTGAGGTTTAGCCTCGGGTAGTCACTTCAAGTGGACGCCACCTCTGCCGCTCCTGCTGACGTTGCTCCATATGAAAGGGGGCGGCAGGCTGCAGGACCCTTCATCCACCTGTGGGGTTCCCTTGGGCTTTCCCCCACAAGCTTCAATCTGGACTAGCGGCTGCCAGAACACAGGTGGGACGAGTAGTTCCTATTCCCCTCCTGCGTCCTGGGAGCTGCCCTCCCAACGGGGCCCACAGCCTGCCTCTCTTGCTGGGTGGGAGAGGCAGTTCCCCTCCTCCCAGCATTTCCAGTTATAACTTGCACTGCTGATGGCTTTTATCTGGGGGAAGGAGGACTGGCAAGGCCCACCTCCCCCGACCCTCCCATTAATCCCAGGAGGCTTAGGGGCAGGAGTTGGTACAGGGCCAGGGCGTGTCCACACGCCAGTGGGGCATGACCCTTTACCTCTAGGGCCTCCTGCTGCTTCGAGATCCCCACAGTTTAGCCTAGGACCGCAAGGTACCCAGTTTCCATGGAAAGCCACGAGGAGGCACTACAGAAGTCTCGATGATGGAGAGGTTGTGCACTAGCTGGGGAGGCTTATGCAGAGCTGCTACCTTTTTTGCGCTAGGCTAGCCAGCGGTGGCATCTGCAAGCGAGAAGGCATCCAAGCACTTAACACGATCTACGCTACCACACTATCGTTTCACATCACCCTGCCCGTAATATAACGCCACCTGTTCTTTATGGATTGAGCCTATCATTATACTTATTGTTTTTTTCTAGGTATCAATTTCATTATGAAATCTCAGCAGAAATCGTGGTCATGATAACATAATACAGGATCATTCCGGCCATCCAACAACTAATGATAATTATGACCATGTCATGTGACGAAGTCACAGCAGAAACGTACGAAACATACGCTTTAGGATACCCTCTCCTCCCCTCAAAAAGTGTACAAGAAAATGTTGATGTTCACAGAGGTAACTTGATTCCTGAAATGTATACCATTGTGTACTTCTATGTGGGAGGCCAAAAAATACAGCGTTGTATCAACAACCAGCCTTTCCCCTCTTCCCCCCAGCGCACGGTTGGTACGCTTATGAAAATGTTGAAAATTCTGGACCCTCCTTGAGCAGAAATTGTGTTACTGGTAATAATGATGGCGGTAATGAAAGGAGCACTAACAATCATGTCGATAATTATGCTAAAAATTATAATAATGATTAAATAATGATAGAAATACTACTGCTACTAGCTACTAATTATGATATTAATATAAAGATGATTTAATAATAATCATGATAATAATAATAATTTTGATAATAGTAAAAAATAATAGTAATGATAATAATATTTATTATTATAATCATAATCATTATTACTAATATTAT